AAGTCTAATGCACACCACTAGCACTACTTCTGGTCGGTTCGAATACGTTGTGTCGGGCCCATTTTTACATGAAACGCCAGGCTGTATACACTGTACATATCAGGCCTTTCAAATGCCAGCCGGGGTGTGCTATAAGCCTGGTAGCCAGTCCTGTATGTGCTAATATGCATAGTACCACTAGTACTATACTCCAGGCCGGTTTATGAGTGTTGACTTGAGTTGAGGAGCCCATTTTTACGTGAAACGCCAGGCTGTACACTGAAAATAATGCCGTCTACGGTAAGCTTTCCAACCCTTAGGTCTCCTGTCCTGTGCTAATGTGCTCCACTCGTGCCACTCGAGTGTTGAGTTGAGTCAAGCTTGTTTTGCATGTTTGAAGCGTAGACCTAAATGCCGGGCACTCCACCCGGCTTGACGCCCGACTGAGGTAAGCTTTCGAACCCTTTCAGTCCGGATGTGCTGAGATGTGCTTTTATGAGCATTCGTGTCATCATGTTGACAGTTATGTGTGTGCCCCAGGCTATAGATGTCTGTGTGTGTATATATAACTATGCCTGCTTTCTTCATGCTATAGGCTTGGCTGTTAGATGTGTGTGTGTATAACTATGCCTGCTGTCTTCATGCTACTGGCTTGGCTGTTATCGTGTGTGTGTATACCTCTAGATCTGCCTGCTCTGTTCATGCTTTTGGTTTGGCTGTTCATGCACTGAAATGTGTTTTTGTTACCAGTTGTGTCATCGTGATGACAGTTATGTGAGTGCCCCAGGCTATAGATGTCTGTGTGTGTTAATACCTCTGGTTGCTCTCTTCATGCTATAGGTTTGGCTGTTATCGTGTGTGCGTGTGTGTGTGTGTGTGTGTGTGTGTGTGTGTGTGTGTGTGTGAGTGTGAGTGTGTGTGTGTGTGTGAGTGTGTGTGTGTGTGTGTGCGTGTGTGTGTTTGTCTGTGTGTGTATACCTCTGTCTGGTCTCTTAGTGCTATAGGCATGGTTGTTATCTTGTGAGCTCTGACGAGGCAAGGCTGGCATTGATGTGGGACTGAGCTTCGTGGGCATGATGAGCTGAAGTAGAACTGCTATTATTTTATCTCCATGTATATTTTACAGGGCTTGAAATTCATTTCTGGTGCACTCAACGTACGAGCCATATCTCAGGTCACAACCCTTTCCCTACACCATTTCTAGCATTGCTAGCTATAGCTACTAGTCTAGTGTAAACTTGTATGTACCCTCAGTCTGTAGATTTGAATCTTTTGCCATGGTTATACAACCGGACAGACCATATCTCAGGTCACGCCCCTTCCGGATCCTCTCGGCTTCTATTTCGCGCTTCCTCCTGAGATAAGGCTGGCGGAACGTGGCACATTTGCCGCGCACTAAAAACCACCATCACCACTTTATCATGTCCGATAGGTTGGGCACAAGGCCTAGGAAAAAATGTTGTGTTTCCTGTTTCCCGACCGACCCTAGAAAAAGCTGCCAACCCTAGCCTTTTTTTGTGTAGACTCCTGCAAGGGACATAAATTTTTTGAGCTGATCAACCTTTTCTAGCTCCATGATCTGACACCTGAGTGACAAAATGTTGTACAATCAGTTTTCCAACATTGACATTGAAAATAAAAGTGTCCTCATACAAGTTTTACTTTAATTGTTAAACTGTATTGTATAAGTTGGATCACTAGAGATCACCAAAGTCGAATACAAAAAGAAAGGAAATGAAAATAATGATAATCCCTACTGACCGACCCAAATTTTTTCAGGACTGAAACAGGAAACACAACATATTTTCCCCAGGCATCACCACTTTATCATGCCTGATATTACAGCATCATTCCGGTCCTGCCTACACCACAATGCAGCACATTCAGATGTAATCTGCCCACTACTCCAGGGAAATGGGCCATTGTCTGAGCCGGCCTTATTAAACCCGGGCCACATCAGGCCAACTTAATGCCCAAATTGAGATCATATCGTACAGCCAGGGACACGCACACGCCAGATCGAAATGTTTTTCTGTCAGCCCGGGTTCATGATTGGACCTGGGGGGAGGGTGTTCAGGATCTAGGGGGGTCGGGGGCAAATTTTGTATTTTCAAGGGAGAAATGCACAGTTTCACACATTTTGGAGGCAAAAATCATGGGGTTGAGAGTGATTGTTGGTGGACCTTTGGTTATTTTGATATTTTACCCAAGATTTTTGTTGACGGATTGGTTAAAAAAATTTCAGTCACATTCCACAAATTTCTTGCAATTTACCGGAAAACTGGTGCTGGCTCGAGCCTTGATGCATGCATTGATGACACATTGATACCGGCAGGACTCTCCCTATAGACAAAACCAACAACATGACTCATCCAAAATTAATAGAAGGAATTAATTTGGGCTGTCTCATCCGTTGTAATTTGTGTATTTGCAACTCAGGGAGTTTCATCCCTGCTGTAAGGTTTGCTTTTTTGTGTCACAAATAAATTAACTATAAAGTGATACCGTCTCTCTCTGGACACTCTCTCTCCAGACAAAACCAACAACATGAGTCATTCAAAATTAATAGAAGGAATTAATTTGGGCTGTCTCATCCGTTGTAATTTGTGTATTTGCAACTCAGGGAGTTTCATCCCTGCTGTAAGGTTTGCTTTTTGGTGTCACAAATAAATTAAGTATAAAGTGATACCGTCTCTCTCTGGACTGTCTCTCCCCAGACAAAACCAACAACGCGACTCATGCAAAATTAATAGAAGAATTAATTTGGGCTGTATGGAGGGTATTGTCCCCGCTGGGTTGATTGTTTGACCCGCGACGTCGCGAAGAAAAAACGACGAACGCCCCTCGTGTCGGGTCCAATCTAGATTTACGTGTGCAAACCACACGAGCGTGTGTGCTATACCGAAGGAGATACAGGGCTCGAAATTCATTTTTGGGAATACTGGTAGGTGCACTGGTGCTGTACGCAAATCTTTGTGTGCAACATATAGGATAAGATACTAGTAAGTAGAATGTCAGCAAAAACTAATTATGTTTCATTTCTACAGAAAAGCACTATATTAACAATGATTTTATTATTTTTCTGATAATATGTAGATGTTAAGAATATGCTGTATACTACATTCAACATCCTATTACGATTTATATATTAACCCTATATTTGACTAATTGTACTATGATTCATAACCCCTTAGGAATTCCTAGCATAGGCCAATACAGTAACTATACAGATTAACATGACATATCGAGAGTCATCTAGGATACATTTCAGTCTGTATGGTATGCATATGTTTCAAAGATACAAGGTACCTTTTAGATGTGACTATCATTCAGCATAAGACTATGTAGCTTCCTTAGCTTGGGGCAGTTCTACCAAGCATCTGTCTTATACATACAGTAGCAGGAGACATACGTCCCTCTTAAGTATATAGTCTAGGTAATGTAAGTCTACATGGTACAAATTTCCTCAACTTCAGACATGAACATTCTTCAACACACTAAGATGTTGAAAACTCCTTGGGGCAGCTTCTACCAAGCATCTGTCTTATACATACTGTACCAAGGAGATATACACTCATGATCATGTATATGCATAGTTCGAGGCAGTGTTACGGTAGCCTACATTTGCAACTTTCAGCTTTTGAGGTATCTCTAGTAGAAGACATTGAAACTACCTCAGGGCAGATTATACACTAAGATTTGTCATACATACAAGCAGTAACAACGCTATGCATCAAAAGTGCCAGAAAATGTAAGAAAGTTTACACGAGATTCTCCTACTTAGTACCTCTAGTATAAGACCTTGTAACATCCTTAGGGTATAGATGCATCAATAGCACAAGAAAATGTTTGACTGTGTTCAAAAGTTTCACCTACTCGGAAGCTCTAGCATAAGACCTTGCAACTTCCTGAGGGTATAGATTCCACAGTAAGATCTGTCATACATATAAGCAGTAACAACACATGCATCACAAGCACCAGTACATGTTAGACTGTGTGGAAAAGTTTCACCTACTTAGTATCTAGGATAAGACCTTGCATGCAAGTTCCTGAGGGTATAGATTCTAGTGTAAGATCTGTCATACATATAAGCAGCAACAACACATGCATCAAAAGCAACAGTATCTGTTTGACTGTGTGGAAAAGTTTAGAATCTCTAGCATAAGACTTAAAAACTTCCTCAGGGTAGATTGTACTGTAAGATCTGTCATACATAACAACATATATGCATCAAAACTGCCAGTAAATGTTAGAAAGTATGGACAAGATTCACCTAGTACTCAGAATCTCGAGCATAAGACCTTGCAATTTCCTGAGGGTATAGATTCTACAGTAAGATCTGTCATACATATAAGACGTAGTAACATCAAACATGCATCAAAAGTGCCAGTACCTGTTAGACTGTGTGGAAAAGTTTCACCTACTTAGTATCTAGGATAAGACCTTGCATGCAAGTTCCTGAGGGTATAGATTCTAGTGTAAGATCTGTCATACATATAAGTAGTAACAGCACATGCATCAAAAGTGCCAGAGAAAGATAGACTAGTTTTGCCTACTCAGAATCTCTAGCATAAGACCTTAGGGTAGATTTCACAGTAAGGTCTGTCATACATATAACCAGCAAGAACACATGCATCAAGTCCCATATACAAATGTAATGCATGAAAACCTCTGATGTCCTTAAATGCCTTCATCACATCCTTCCTGATAAATTGCACAGCCATGTGAAGATCTACTGTATCAAGCATAGACACATCACTCAAAAGAACAGTTACTCAAGCAACTGGATATGATTTTGGAAACGGTCAGACGTTATGGGTAGCATCCACTACCTTTCGTCAGTGACACTGGAGAGTTATCAGAAAGGGAGGTTTATAAGACATAAGTACGAAATATTGATTGATGTGCAATTATGCAGAGACATAATTCGTAGCGTTGGGAAAATGACAGCGATGAGAATGGAATTCGCCCGGTTTCTCAAGAATGACAGAGATCCGACCACTCCTCCTTTTGTACCTTTTTCTGTGCCTCTCTAGTGCAGGGCGATCTGCTTGAGTTTAAGATATTGGCCATGTGTATAGACATTGACATAGACACATCAATACCTCAAGAAAACTGGCTAACCACATCTCTTGTTTCTTTTCTCAGTCAGATGCACACCTGGTGAGCAGGTAACACCTCCTCAACACTACCATGTTCTCCTTACGACACCTTCTCACCGGCTTCTGCTTTTCTTGGCTCGTTCTGGGAGTGCGTACGTCCTGTCCTGACTCCTGCAAGTGTCGATTTTCCTCGGTCGACTGCCAGCGAGGCGAGCTTGCTGAAATCCCCCGGGACCTACCCAGTACCATCAAACTCCTCAGCGTCACGCGAAACAATCTAAACCACCTCCCAGAAAATGCCTTCACACATCTACAGAAACTGGAAGAGCTACGGCTACCGCACAACAAGATTGCACGGATCGCAACCGGCGCTTTTAATGGGCTACGCAACCTTAAAGAGTTGGCTCTGGACTACAACGAAATTCGGGTGCTTCGAAGGGACATGTTACAAGGATTACCGAATTTGAGGAACTTGTACTTGGAGCATAATGCGATAGCTCGTGTAGATGGGGATGCTTTCCTGGATATGCCTTACCTGGAAGGGATTTATTTGGGACATAATCTGCTGACAGATTTTCCCTGGTCTGCTGCTAACCGCATGAAATCCCTGCAGTCTCTCAACCTGAGGTTTGATGTTTTATTATGTTTACTTTTGCATAAGGTATACCAATATGCAGTCTGCATTTTGCAGAGAAATTTTCAATATTGCAGGAGATTTGAGCAACCTGCAATTTTGCAGAAAGAAAGAAATCAGGCTAGGGGTTCAATTGTGTTGGTATAGGTGGGTATAGTATTTTCTAAGTAAGATCTTTTGTGTTTACTACTTACTTTATGATATACTAATAATGATAATTTTGTATTTCTAAAATTGTTTGTAAAATGTTTGCCGATATGCAGTTTTGTATGGGTTCAGGCCAAGGCTTGCAAGTGTATATTCACAGAAAGTATTTCCAAATTGCAGAACAAAATGTTGATATTCTGCAATTATAACAATGAAAAAAGTATTTCTAACACTGTCTTGTCATTGCAGGTTAAACAAGAAATGATATCTATATTGTGCTAAGTTTACTGCCAACTATTACAGCATCCACTTCTCTTGTTGTGCAGGTTCAACCGGATTTCCGTACTCCGTCAGCGGGACGTCGGCCACCTTCTGGAGAAGATACTGGTCCATCTCCATGGAAACCCCTGGCATTGCAACTGCGAAATCTTCTGGTTCTGTGACTGGCTTCGGACACCTCCGCCTGAAATCGCCATGCACATGAACAAGTACGTGTGCGCTTCACCCGACCACAACTCGGGAAGACGGTTCGCGGACGTACCCTTAGCGAACTTAACCTGTCGTGCACCTTTAATAATTAACCCTCCGTTGGATTTAGAGGTCCAAAAGGGCGCTACGATTGAACTACACTGTATTGCAACCGGTGACCCAAGACCCAGTATACAATGGGTCACGCCAAAGGGGCATGTCGTGTCCACAGGACAAGGTTCGAACCAAGTGTTAGAGCTAGAAGACAGCATACTGGAAGTACGTGACGCGAGTATTGAAAACAATGGCAGGTATACATGTATCGCGTCAAATTTGCTCGGGAATAGAACTTCGGATGCGTATGTGACAGTATCTCCATCCGGACACCCTACGGGGCCACCCCAGGGTAGTTACACCGCGCGCCCCACTGAAACACCATATGCTGCAAACCTGACCATATCAGACGTTACCCCAACTTCTGCCACACTTATGTGGCTTCCCGAGGACAGGAGGGAAGCCAGGTATAAAATCATGTACTTCTGTATAGATGATAATGACATTGTCCGCTCGAAAAATCTCGAAGACAAAGTGACTTCGTACACTATAGAAGACCTAATCCCTGCGAGTCAGTACACAGCTTGTCTTCACGTAGAGTATGTGAGAAAACTTGAGAAGACAAGAGAATTCTGTGTTGACTTCAAGACGCTATCTGAGGCATCTCAGAATGATTCTAATTATTACATTGTGATCGGTACTGCGCTAGGCTGCATCGCGAGCATACAAGTCTCTGCTCTCATGTTCTACCACCTCATCTACCTAAAGTGTAAGAAACGGAAGAAGGAAGACTCTTATGAGGAAGAGTTAGGCATGTACACGTCTTATGAGGAACCTTACTCTATTGACGTGACCCTACCAGATATCAATCAGCACTACAGAAGAGGGACGATCGCTGGATTTGAGGCCATTAGTGTACGTGAGGGAAGAGAGATACCGATACCAGTCTTAATCAACGGAATGTTATTCCAGAGAGCGAAATCGGGGAGCGAAGCAAAGATGGCTGCCGCGCCAAGAGAAGGCTCGTTGAGTGACGTTCAACGCGCTCAGAGCAATCCGTCTATGATCACGTTCAAAGGACCTGGTTCAGGCGGTTCGCCCGACAATCGTACAACACCGTCGAAAACCGGTACGTACAAGGAGGCGGTCACGCAAACTCCTAGGATACAGGGGAGACATAGTAGCCAAGACCAGTATCCTACGAACACGTATAACATTAACGCTGAGGTGCACCATAGTAAGGATGAAAGTAGCTGTAACAGCTCGCAATCGAGCGCTGCTACATCCGATCACGGATCCGACAAACAACCCGAACCTCGTGGTACAACAACAAACCTTGAGGAAGACCACGAAGAAATCAAAGACGATTCAGTCATACCTGATAACATCATCGATATCACCAGAAAAAACACCTGTAATTTAGAAATACACAGAGAAGAAGGGCCATGCTTGATCAACAGTTCCACTAGAATGGACCAGAATGATTCTAGTACGTGTTCTTGGCAGAATCCGACGGAATGCCACCCTAGAAAACCTCCCTCTTTAGTCTCCAGCCCAACTGGATTAAGAATCGCGACGTCAGAGGGCAACAACAGTTCGCAGGGAAGTAGTTCGTTAGGGAGTACACTAACGAGCGGGGAATACGCCGACGCGGAGATGACGCAAACAGGTTCGAGCGAACGCGATAGCGATGTCTCGTTCTACCACTCCCCACCGGAGGAATTCATGGATGGAGTCGAAAATTGCGACGAGGGTAATAAAAAAGTGGTGGAAAATGGTCCAAGCAACCTACAACTTGCTGACATGGAAACCACAAGGCTTTGATATAACGTATGTTTCATCTATGTGTGCTACGGATACTACTGTCTTCTTATAGGATTCACCTGTGGATACTACTACTTAGGATTCCTTACGTACGGGATACTTCTTCTACACTGTTGTTTTTTATCGGGTTGGGACTCTACTCTTCATATTGTATCTGCGTGTGTGTGCATCTGGGAAAGGAAAAGTCAATACTGTTACGACGTTAGACCCACTGGTTTGGAGAGTAATGTTATGACGGAGGGCTGTTATCAAAAGGCCATTTGGCAGCGGCGTATCTGCTCTATATCTTCATCCCACTACAATGGATTTTACCCCATGCCTATTGGATTTCTGTGCAACGGATTGTGACTTTCGGACGGAGCGGGGGAAAACGGAAAACACACGCACACAGGTTTGTCTGTAACTCTCCAGGCCACTCCAATTTAATTCCTTGGTTCTCGGACCTTTTAAGTGAAAAATACAGTTAAAAAAACACCAATTTCTGATGCACATAGAAAATACTAAAACTGTTTTTGTCTTACTTGCCTTGCACCCTCCTCGTATAGTACTGACCTAGGCCTTATCCAAGTAATCTTTCATTTTGTATACTAAACATATTAAGATGATATTAAACCCCCAAAAAACCAGACATCATGAAACCAGAGGGCAGGGAGGAAAACTTATAAAAATATATCTGTATTCACTCTAGAAAATAGAGTGTGACAAAGCATAAACCTGGCCCTCAGCCTTGGTTTTCTTTCTGTTTTCCATGCTGTTAAGCACATTTTTTAAAATCTGTGAACCGACAAATCAAATTGGTGTGGCCTTAAGTTCTGTCTACAGAAGACAAAGTAGGTGCTCTATCCATGTTAGTAGCTATATATGACACCTGTAAGTTCTCTCTTGGTTTCTCCTTGATTACACTTAGCCTCCATAGCAGGCTTATAGAACTGGGGGTTTGGTGGTCTTCGGCTGTTTTCTGATTAGCCCAGTTCTAAAAAACGGGGAATTCAATCAGGCCGGCTATGTTGTCTATTATGCAATCAGAAAATAGCACATAAAAGACTCCTAAAGACCCCCAAAACCCCCAGTTTTTGGCATGCTATGGAGGCTTGATTACACCAAGGTTCGGCGCCTGACAGTTACCGATGGTTCCCTGCCCTGTAGAAGTGAAGGATAACCCTGGGCCAGGCTTTCTTATGAAAAACCTATTATTTCTTAATGTGGTGTGATGTGTGGAGAGAGGCAAGGCGGAGGGCTGGGCCTACGAAATACAATGTTGTGTTTCCTGTTTCCCAACCGACGCTAGAAAAAAACTGCTGACCCTAGCATTTTTTGAGGTGGACTCCTTTCATTTTTCAAGCTGATCGACCTTTTCTAGCTACATGACCTGACACCTGAGTGATGAAACGTTGTACAATCGGTTTACCAACATTGATATTGAAAATAGAACTTGTCCTCATGCAAGTTTTACTTTCAAATTGCTAAACTGTATTGTATAAGCTGGATCACTAGAGATCGCCTAAGTCTAATGACAAAAGAGAAAGAACGAAAAAAGATAATCCCTAACTACCTACCGACCCTAATTTTTAAGAATTGAAACAGGAAACACAACATTTTTTTTCCAGGCCTAGAGGCAAGACGGCAGGTTGCTTTGCAAGGGAGGATATTGTGGAGTGGATTGATGTAGTCTATTACGTGTGGTATAGAGAGTAGGAAGTTGGTTTGGGGAGGCGAGATTGTGGGTGACACACCCCGGCACAGAGTCTCGAGATCCGTGCGGCTCTGCATCATAATCAGGTCTTCGTCGGTCGCGGGTAGCCAGCCGTGCCAAACACAATCTGATCTGGTCTATCGAATATCAGGGCTGGAAATTCTGACTGCATATGTGCACTTTTATGAATTCAAAGTGATGCATATTGCAGCTTTTGTGCAGGCAAATTTGGACTTGCAGAATCTGTATGTGCACACAATTTCTGACTGTGTGCTGGGGCTAGCAAGGCGTGCGAAACACAATCTTATCTGGATAGGGTTGATTTATTCCAATCAGGGCTGGAAATGTAATGACAGTGACAATGACATATATACTGGGTGCATATGCACCTTTGTGCCCCTGAAATTGGACTTCTCTGCACAACATTTTTGACTGTGGGTACACCGGGGCACCAGTCCTAGATACATGCTGTTTGGTGTACAGTACAGTTTGCTACAGATTCAAGCTTCAAAGAGATCTATATTACAAATGACACTAATCTATTTGTATTATGTCTTATATGTTTTTCAACAAATTTTTTTCTGTGCTCCTAAATTTTTGGCTTGGCTGCACCAGTGCACCTACATGTATTCTGAAACAATTTCCAGCTCTGATTAAATGTATGGCCAGGAGCCACCAGACTGTACAGGGCAGACAGGGTCGGATGGAATCTCTGGGCAGAGTAACTAATTTAAATACTGTAGCTAGTCTTTCCTCTTCAACATATGCTGCAACTATGACTAGGCATGTCACACTGGTCATTCTGAATTAGGAAAGCAAATTTCTATACATTTCATGATCATGGGAACTCTACGTTTCAACTTGCTACTGGCTGTACAGTGAACATTTATTGCAATGTGTTTTAGAAATACATGTAGCATTCTTTTCTGTAAGCTATGGTATCTTCATTAACTTCATGTCCCAAAGTTTAGAACAGAAGCATTAATACAAAGTTTTTCTAGGGTATTTGCAAATTTAGAGTGACCAGTGTTATGTTTTTCTGTTAGATGTCCATGAATTGAAATATTTTTCACAATGACTCAAACTCATTTCTTACCCTTTATCCACTGTAAGGCTGTCTACAAAACTAGTTTAAGTCTCAGAAAAGACTTGGATTAATGTGTGTGAGGCTCTTACAGGGGTTATGTCAGAGCTGGATCCAGCCAGGCGTGCAAGGCTCTCACCGGTACTCTGCATGATGGTTTTTATACAGGGTTGTGAATAGGTTTTGTATGGGGGTAGACAGAAATGTACATAAAGTTCAACATTAATGTTCTGGAAATAATAAAATCAGCCACACTCTCGACTGAATGTCTGAAGGCTGTGTGCCCTGAATGTACAACTACAACGTTAAAGATGTTATATTAAATATTCTAATTTGGAAGCACCCTTTTCTGTCACTCAATGTTAAGTCTCATAAGTCTCATAGCTTATCAGACAAGCAATAATTTTCTCTAATTGAGGTAAAGCAGAAGTTATCTGACAGCTACATAAAAGTTACAGAAAATTAAATACTACTTATAACTGGTATTTACTTACTAGTATTACCAAACATAAATATACTATTTGACAAACAAACTTGTCTTGACTGTTCAGAAGATATCTATTTTTAAAACCAGCAATGATCATCAAATGGTAAGTTACTCGCAAGCAAAATTAAAGGAAACTAAAAACGTGGTGACCAGCCCCTCTAACTCTGTCCTGCCACTTGCTACATAATGTAACCCAACACCACATTGTGTCTGCTACAGCACCAGTTACCATGGTGACAGACGTCTGGTCCAGGTCATTGACCATTATTGAAACAGAATTCGAAGAAGAAACAGAACAAAATCGACAAAATGTTTTCCTTCTGCAAAGGCAAACATAATAATCCAAACCTACAGCACCATTCAACATGAAGCTACCAACACTTCCGATTGTTTGACCTCTTGGCACCCCCTTTCAGAATGTGAACAACTAATAGTCGACTCAGAGCAGGGGCCAGAATCATCTCTACATGTGGAAACAACTGCTGAAGGAAATGCTGGAATGAATCAATAATTGTCAAGCCTGGAGGAAATCATGATTCTTTATATATACACAAGCTATAAATGGACTCCCTACAGACAAAGTGGATCCCTATGGGCTGCCAGAAGCGAAGTAAAATGGCATATTAACTCACTGGAATATTTTTTAGTGTAGGGGTCATGTTGTCTAAGTCCCTTCAAGTTATAGTTGCAGTGAAAAGATATATTTCTGAGACCCTTGACACTTTTATGTATACAGAAGTTATAACAATCATGGAATATTCTTTAAAACACACCAGAATTTTTCATGGTGTAGGGGTTATGGAACTTTGATTTGTAATGTTGCCAAATGTTGTCTGACTATCTTCAAGTTAAAGTTACTGTGAAGTCTGAAAACATGATGCTTTATATACACCCAAGCTATAAATGTACTCCCTACAGACAAGTTGGATCCCTATGGGCTGCCAGAGGCAAAGGGAAATGGCATATTAACTCACTGGAATTTTTCATAGTGTAGGGGTCATGGATCTTTGATTTGTTGTTGTGCAATGTTACAATGTATCTGAGTGACTTCAAGTAATAGTTGCAGTGAAGAGATACATTTTTGAGACCCCTGACACGACAGTTTTATGTACTCAGAAGCTTTCAGGCCGTTTTTAGAAAAGCTCTAGAGGGACAGTGCACACCAAGAAATCGTTGTCTAAGTGTCTTAAAATCATAGTTAGGTCTGGAAAATAGTTCCTTCTGGAGATACATTTAGAAAGAAACCCTGAGAAGTTTTATGCACTCAGAAGCTTTCAAAATCATTCGCAGAAAAGCTCTACCAGTGGGACAAATCTTCGATGGATAAAGTGACAATTGGACAAATTCATCAGTATAAAATTGTTGTCAACCCCATTTTTTCAAACACTGACTTTAAAACAAAGTTGCTTCCAGTATTTTGGAATAAAACACAAACTTTCCCCATTATTTGGCCCTGTGAATCTGGATAGGGCAGGGACAAAGCAGTCTCATCAGGACAATCGCAGGGTTCCATCAGTATAAACTGTTGTCCACCTCATTTTTTAAAACAACATTTTGGAATAGAGCGCCAACTTCCCCATCAGTTGGCCCTATGGATTCAGATAGATAGTGGGGACAGAGCAATCTCCCTGGGACAATCGCAGGGTTCCATCAGCCACTCCTAACCCCGCATCCGGGTACCATTCCTCTTCCTCGCCTGGTCCAGCAAGAGACGGCCAAACCATCATATCCGGCGGAGAAGGGCGTCCATCAACGATGGAGTTAATTGCCGGGCTGATGAGATGGAGCCGGAATGGGTTCCTCTACGCAGAGTGGGCCCATCCTTCAGCCTCCACCGAGTGCCTGCCACTCGCCTCAACATCAAGCAACATCTGTCACTCATACTGGTCCCCATGGTAACAGGAGTGTCTGCCACTCAACTCCTAACAGAGCCGGAATGGGTTCCTCCATGCAGAGTGGGCCCATCCCTCAGCTGTGCATCCATCCCTCAGCTCTGCAGAGCGCCTGCCACTCGTCTCACCATCTGTCACTCAAGCTGGTCACCATGGCAACAATAAACTTTCCCCACGGAGAGTGGGTCCATCCCTCAGCTCTGCCACTCACCTCACCCATCTGTCACTCAAACTGGTCACCATGGCAACAATAAACTGTCCCCATGCAGAGTGGGTCCATCCCTCAGCTCTGCCCAAAGCCTGCCGCTTGCTTCACCATCTGTCACTCAAACTGGTGTCCATGGTAACAACTCTCTTTCCCAGGAGAGGCTGCCACTTGCCTCACCATCTGTCACTCAAACTGGTGTCCATGGTAACAATATTCTCTGTCCCGGAGTACTCACAGCTGTCCCCATGGTAATAACACTCTCTATTGACTTGCCTCACCAACTGTCCCCATCTGTCACTCAAACTGGTCCCCATGGTAACAAGTCTCTATCCCAGGAGTGTCTGCCACTCGCCTCACCAAAAGGCAATATCTGTCACTCAAATGTCACCATGGCAACAATATTCTCCATCCAAGGATACTGACAGTCCCTGTGGTAACTAAACTCAAGGAATATAACCTGTCCTTGGTGCTGAAACTCTAGCAGATAATGTATAATAACACTATTTCCAGCCAGTTTAGTTGCATCTTGTCCAACAGTTATGGACAGATGGCTCAAGTTTCCATTTGTGACAGAGCATTAAATGACCAATGAGAGTTTTATACAGCAGTAC